TACAAATACTGCGGGTGGCGGAAGGAAACGAAAGGACGTATAAAGTAGTGCGTGTATTTTGTTCGTATCTCCCTAACTAGCATTCTCTCCTCCTCTCTCTCTCTCTCTCTCGCGCACACATTCACATACGTCTCGTCTCTCCATTCCAGTCTCTCTTTCTCTCAAGTGTACAAGTGTGTGTGTGTGTGTGTATGTGTGTGGTGTGTAGACGAACATGGACGAAGACGCGTCTTTAACTAACGATGGCACAGATGCGATCGCGCTTGGAAACACGTGCACCGACTCGCGAAACCGATCACTTTGAAACGATCAATGTACGCGACCAATGATGCTCACGTACGCGGACAATTGCGGAATCCAATCGAATGGGGGCGAACGGTATTACACATTACAATTAAAAGCGATTATGGCGGGCCACAGTTCGAGTTCGCCTCTCTCTTTAAGGAGATTAGCGTTTCCCAGCACTATATTATTCCTTTTCTTCGATATGTTAATATAATAATGATAATAATGATAAGCGTTCGTATCGCGATATAACGTTTTTTCGAGCTCCAACGAAACTCTCCTTCGTGTTTTTTTTCTTTTTCGTTTTTTCTTTTTTACGATGTGTGTGTGTGTGTGTGTGTGTGTGTGTGTGTGTGTGTGTGTGTGCGTGCGCGTGTGTGCAAAGAACATACGATAACGGATAGAAGGTGAATTCGAACTATTTATAAAGTGACAAACATGGTGATCGGCGTGATTACGTTGTTCGAAGAGCGCTCGTACAAAACGAAGAGGATTAGAAGATTATAGTAGTAGTGGGGGAGGGGGAGGGGGAACACGCTGATAGGTGGAAAGATATGCACGCGGCCCTCTGTCGCGTTTCCGCTCGGCTCCGTCTTTAAAAGCGCGATTTAAAGACGCGCCGTTGCCTCGCTCTACGTAGTGCGAGTAAGATAATTTTGCCATACAAATTTGCAAGATCTTTCTAAATCTATTGTAGATCCATCGTAATTAACATATGCGCTTGGATCGCGTTTTATATATATATATATATAATATATATATGTACACAGTCTTACAAAGCGAAAATTTACAAACATCACGACGTACGGACGATCGAATAAATATTATACCTTTTCTTTCTTTTCTTCTTCCCTCCGGCGAAAATTGGAAAAGTAAATCGGCCCTGTATCCCTTCGTGTATATCGATTCGTCCCGATATCGATCTTAACGGCTGCTCCACCGGTGGAACGCTAGCTAGCTGTTTAAAAATAATACGGGCTGAACATCGGGGAGAAGTTTTTATCTTTTTGCTAGAAACACGGATGGGATGGGCTGGTAAAAGCTGCGGAAAGGCGGATTAAAAAAAAGAAAGAAAAAAAGAAAAGAACGAGCTATCGAAGCCAAAAGGATCGATCTCGGGACGAAAGAGAGTCGTCGGAGTCGTGTTTTTTGTCCGGCCGGTTTCTCGCGAACGCCCTGTCGCGTGGCAGGAATCCTGTCGTGGCAGCCTTCGTTCGATCGCCGCTTGGAGGAGGAAAGGGATTGGTTGAGCGGGATATATCGATATAGCGCGCGGAGGCGGAAGCGAGGATCGGAAGCGAGGAAAGAGAAAGAAAGCTTGGAGAAGTCGAATCGAGCGCGCGATCTATCCTATCCCACCCCGGCCACCGGCCATCGGTCACATCACTTTTTTTTTCTTTTAAAGCCTCTGCGCGTGTGTATACACGTGTATTTATATGTATATGCGTGTGTATATGTGTGCCCAACGTTGCGTGTCTTCACGTATTACGTTCGATTACTCGCGATCGAAAGCATCGCCTCCTCGTCGCCTCACCCTCTCGCGTCTCTCTATTCCTTTCTCTCGTTCCGTGTGTGCTCGTATGTATGTCTCTCCTCGTGTGTGCCTCGTGTGTCGATGCGTTTTGCGCGATACTCTTGATGTGCTGCTAGGAAGCTGACTAGATTATAGCCTATATAGTATATATATATATATATACTATACTATATATATACTATATATAGAATACGAAACGAATCCGGAATGAATCGTTTCGAAACGGCGGGCTCGAGCCCGGCGTCCCCAATGCGGCCGGTTCTCCATTGTGTGTGAAACGGTGTGCTACGCGGCAGCGGAGAGAGGAAGCGGAGAACGGAGGCCGGGCCCGAGGCCCACCCTTCCTTCCTTCTCATCGTTCTCAACGATGGATCCGGGGTTTCGTATCGATCTTGACTGCTCGGCCTTCTTCGAGGCCGAACGCCTCTACCTAGGCGTTCGACTCTTTCAAATTGTCGAAATACTGCATGATCTGGTTGTAGTCCATGCCCAGGTTCAGGTCGTCCAGCGCCACCGATTCCTCTTGCTCGTGGGACAAAGACGCGGACGAGGAGGAGGAGGAGGAGGAGGACGAGGAGGAGGAGGAGGAGGAGGAGGGAGAGGCGGAGGAGGACGGCGACGAGTTGGGCGGCGACGAGGAGGACGAGACCACGGTCGGGGTTGACACGTTCATCGAGGAGGCGACCGCGTTGGTCGAGAACGAGGAGAACATTGGATTGCCGACGATCGTCGCCCTCTTCACGACGCTCTCCCTGCCCCTCACGTCCTTCCCAACGTGCCTGTTCTCATCGTGATTCACCAGCTCCACGAACTCCTCCTCCCCGTCCCCCTCCTTTTCTTTCGGGCTAACCACTACCCTAGCTTTACCATGCGTTGGTTTGATATGATGAATCTGCTTGCTCGTGTGCCGTTGATTGTTGTTGTTGTTGTTGTTGTTGTTGCTGCTGCTGTGTTGCTGGCCGTTGTTCACGCCCGCGCTCCCGCTCGATGCCCTGTGTCGGCCGTGTTTCCTCGGCGTTTCAGGCAGCCGCACGATCACGCCCGTGTTCCTGTGCGGCGGAACAGGCGGTTTGTAATCCTCGTTCCCGTTGTTGTTGGCCGTGCTCGCGCCGACGGGTGCTGCCTGCGCCGCCGCCGTCGTCGTCGTCGTCGTCGTCGTCGCCGCCGCCGCCGTCGTCGGACCCGGTATCCCGTGCGGCGGCAAGGGCGGTGGTATATCGTCGTTGCTACGACACGAAACAACACCACGTTTTTTTTTTTTTTAGCAAAACCACCTGTTTTCCTGTTCTCGATTTTTATATCGAAAGCGAATGGATGGATCATATAATAGTAATAATTGAAATGAATTACTCGTTCCGCGCGGAAGTAACGGTGGACGTAACCATGGACGATGGTGGAGTAGCGACCGTGGTGGCCGAAACGACCGTGGACGGCTTCGATATTGGTTTCGTCACGAAACTGTTCCGCGGCATCTTGTCCCTCTTGCAATAAGTCGTGGTGTCGACGATCGGCCCGTTCGATCCATTGCCGCGCTGCCCCCCCGCAGACGGTAGCTCGATATGGTTGGGATTGTCGAAGCAAGTGGCCAGTTCACCTCCTTCTCCCTCGTTTTCACCGGCCAGAGGATTGCTGGTCACTCTTACCTGCAATGAAATGCAACTCTCTCTCTCTCTCTCTCTCTCTCGCTTCTTCGTCGCGTCTCCTCC